AGTATAAAAGGAGGTCAAGTCAATGAGAAAGCAAAAAAGAATCAGAAGAAAAAAGAAATCTTCCAAAGTTCAAAGTTGGCTGGTGTAGGAAAAGGAGAAATGCAAAGAAATCACTGCAAAGATACTATTTGGGGCTTTATAATTTGATAGCATAGATACCCCGTAATTGCTCAACTTGAGGGAAATACAGGGGATGTGGATTCAGTGGGAACTGTTGGAGTAGATTAAAAAATATTTTTTTTTAATATTTCACTTACCCAATGTGGAATGTAAGTAAAACTATGCAAGTGAATTATTCCAGTTCTAGATCTAAATTAAAAAGAACACAGAGTTCTTGTCATCTATATGGTTTATTACTGTTTACAAACCATGGAGGAAACAATCATTGACTACAAAGGATGGTGGGCTTTTACCTCACAATAACCCTTTGAACCCTGTTTTGTTCTAGATCTGGGAAATGAAGCCACATACATAGCTAAAAGTTACAAAATTGGCTCTGATTATGTTGGAGAATAATTTGGAGAAGCCCAAGGCAATTCAGAATTTTGCTATTGCAAATTGAGGGGTTTTTTATATGAAGAAAATGGGATCATTTTAAAATGTAGGCAGACCCAGTGTACCTTTGAATAAAGCATTCAGAAATTGGCTTTTTTGAGAAGAGTGCAGGAGAGACCCATAATTTCATTAGTGTAGAAATTCCCTTTGCAGAGCTCCATCTTCCTCTTCCAAGGCAGATGGTCAACTGCCTTGCAACCAAGGCAGGAAGGTCTTAAATGTCTTCTCTAGAGTCAAACAGCCAGTAATGTTGGAAAAGTCTTCCATACTCCCAAGACAGTTAGAGGGAACTATTTTACCACATTGCCCCTTTATGAGTAGCTTAGATAAGAATAAATGCAAGGGTTACTAGAATACTTTTAGTTTCAGGTGCGGGACTTGGGGACTCATCCATCTTTCTAGCTGTTGTGCCTCTAGGTCCCTTTCCTTCCTTGGAGGTGTTAACAGGATTTTTTACTGAGCCACTCTCTAAACTGAGAATACTGGGAGCCACATAAAGCAGGCCTAGAGATGGGAGTGCCAGCAGTCAACTAGTTTATTTAATCAAGTTCAAAGGAATGTTCTCTTACCTGAAATGAAAGCGCTGGTTATATACTTAAA